GAGCCTCGTAGATACATTGGCCTACTGATTCATTTGCTTGTGAATATTATTTCGATAGGATGTACTGTCGTATGTACTCTATACTGTCGAATCCGAGTATATACTTGGAACTGGTGAATATGTAAGATTGTTAAATACTGGTCAATGTGAAAGAATGTTTGGTACGAATGAATGGTAAGGCATATTTTTCACTGGCTGTATAATGTTTGAGAACATTAAATGCTGTGAATGTTGGAGAATGTTGAGCCCTAGCGAATGTTGGGGAATTTTTGGTTCTGATAAATGTTTGAGAATGTTGAGCGTATGTTAAAGTGAGATTTTGTGTACTGTTAAAGTAATTTTCCCTCCCATAATGGAGCGGATGCTAACAAATAGAAGCAAGAAATTTATTAACAACTTTGAAAGTCATATTAACCAGCACCAGAATTTCAGCCAGTACTATACTGGCTGCAGTTCTTTGTCGAGATGGGCAAGACATTCCTTCACCAATTTCATTATTGTGCCACGTCAATGCATTTTCATCTCTGCTTTTTTTCTAGTCCAGGCGTTTGTGCAGGAATATGCACAAGGCAACGTAGTTAATTTAATAAATGGGGGAGGAGGGAGCCTGATTTCAGACTCGGCCGCGCCTGCCCAGGAGCCATACTTTCAAAACTCGCTAAGTGAACGTAAGTACTTACGTTCTATTTTCTTGTCTATGATTGGTGGATTTTGCTTGAAAGGCCGTCAATGATTGGCTGATGAAATTACGATCTCTCAACATTTTTTGAAAGTATGGGCCCAGGAAGGTATTAGGTGCCTAATACGCGCGCGCTTCTCGGTCGCCCTACGACCGCCAGGGAATTTACCGCATTCTAATCAGGCGCTCACTTCGCTCAGATAAACAGAGCGTAAAGTGGTCATAGAGTCGCTAATTTACGTGCTGGGCGAACGTTCATCGTCCCTGCATCAGAAGCTTATACAATTATAGTATAATTGTATAATAGTAGGACCGAAAATTAATTATAGGGGAACTGACGAATGATACTTTGTAACTAAATTTTCACGTGTTAGTTAACTGACATAATACAATCAGTACACAATTTTTTTTGGAGCAACACTGAAATAATATCGTGCAATAATACACGCTAACGCTCTCATCTGGTCGGAGTTTGGAATATGTTTTGCAACATTACCTGTACATCTTCTTTTTTCCGAATTTTTTTTGACATAAATTCATTATCAGCTAATAGTGAGATTAAAAATATTTTCGATGAGACCTTAGGAAATCATGCTGTTTGATATCCCATGAAGGCTATATGAAGTAGCAGCTCATTTGCTTGAGGGAGGCAAGATTTTTCAAAGTAATTTTTGCTGTAATATTATTGAAGAAAGGTTTGGGACTTGCCGGCAGCATCGAAATCGGATTACGTTATTGAAAATCAAAGCTTCCAGGCGCTGCGGTTTTCCGCCGTCTGGATCGACTTGGGAATCACCTCGCTGGCTCATAATGTTCTCAGAGCAAAGATGATACTGAAAAAATTGGCCTTCCTTTTTTTAAGAAGCAATATTCTCTGCAAGCATTAGGAATTTTAAAACATTTATTTAACGAATCATCAAATGTCCAATTTCCTTTTTTTGGTGGTAAAAAATAAATAATCATAAGAATATATGACGAAGCGAAAAGTATTTCTGTAATTAATTGTGCGAAAAGAACCCGTAACAATTTTACTATGAGGATATTTCTTTCACAAGAAAGAAACTTTATGCATTTAAAACCTGCGCAACGGAAATTAATTTATTGGTAAAATTTTTACTGTATTTAAAAAATGCAGTAGTGTGGTTATGAAAAATATGAATACATTGGCTTTAAAAAATTTTTTTGAAGAAATTAATTCTGTTGTGAATCTAAGATCATTGTTTTCTACTGAAAACTTCAACCTGTTAAAATGTTGCATAGCATGAGAATTTATAGTGAAAATACGTACATCATTTCTCTGTTACTCACAATTAGCGTTGTTAACGACATGTAAATTCGAATAATGTTCTGCAAAAAGCAATAGCGGGACATATACAACCATTTTCGACCCATACATATACAACTGTAGCTCGAAAATGAACAATAAACACTCGAGTTTTGTCATGATGGTTTCGAATGCGATGCTGCCGAAACTACACGAGAATGTTAGCAGGCTTGTTCTTGTTTGTTAAATGCAGTCCAATGTTGTTGTGAATAAACTCTGAACTTCGTTCCTTCATAGCTCTCTTTAATGGAAGAAAGAACCGCTTGTTGTAAGACCCTACGGTACAGGCACCTCATTCAATTATCTTTGAATGAATCCAGTGAGAATTGGGTGGGCTATAATAATTTCAAGGCTGAAGCTCTCCCAGCAACAATTTTCGTATAATAACATACTTGAATATCTCCCTGAACTCACGGAATCGAGGAGAAATAAGTGTCTTTGGGATGCTACATTGTCCGCGCCATCATGAGAGGATCTTTGACAAGATCTTTTATCGTGACTGAGGGCACGGAAGATGGCCAGACGAAGAATAAAAAGCGATTGGCACAAGATTTTATGGACGCGATCATAGACGAAGTAATGTCTTACGGATAACAGTTATTCAACAAAAAAGTAAAACGCTACTTGTATGATGGAATATTTATCATGTGATTCCCTTCTACAACACATGAACTGTCGTTATATTTTCTTCCTAACTAAACAGTTCTTGGCTTTGCTCTTGCAGAGAGTTACGGCAATAAAAAATAATAAAGATTCTCAGCTTGAGAATCAATTTTTATTCTGTCTCAGTTTGGGTACTTAGCGATGCAATAATCTGATTTACAAATCGCTTTCAGTTCCATTATTTCTTTAAGAATCTAAGTACTGTTTGATAACATTCTTCCCGTATACTAATTATTCGATTAAAGCTCGAGATTTTCATTAATCACGTTAATACTCTTCACCTTTTCCTGTTTCCATATTACATTTGCTCAAGTTTCTTCTGCCTCTTCCCTTCTTCCTCCTCTGCTCTGATGGCGTTCCTACCGCAACCAGAGCTCCTGGAGCTCGCCAAGTCTCCTAAATTTGCCAGCTTCTACAATTTTTTTGGCGTGTTTTTTGTGAATCCGAAGCTGAAGTGACGCCGATAGAAACTACATCTGCTGCAAATGCCACCTGCCAACTAGTGCTGCCAACTGCAGAGCCAGCTGTGGAGACCTTTTTTAACGGTACAAGCCTTCAAACGGAGTTCAGTCGAAACTTGATTCGAAAGCATCGCTAAGCAGCCGTACGTCCATCCCTGAAGTCTGTGCAATGCGCAGCCGTCGATTATTATAGCGTCTGCGTTTTGTCTCGGTATCGATATCGGTTTGTAATAATAAGATGGTAAGACTTTCTATTACGTATCAGAACTACATATCCTTATATAAAACGAGTGCACTCTAGTCATGTTCGAACGGCAAAGCATGACTCCTGATAAGTATTAGTGTTTCTCAGCTTACTCTAAAATATACTCGCTTCTCTTACTCTCCAAAATATACTCTAGGTGTATGCATACTTAAGAACTTATTGCCTCATGTATGCTGATAATGTCCTCATTGTGGACGAGCGGTCAATCGCATCGAATGATGAATGTAGGGAATCGGGAGTGCGAACCGCCAGCAAGCAATGAACACCTCGTAGATCCTCGGGAATTTATGGCATCATATTATTAGAAAGTTTTAATGGAAAATGTTCTTTCCATCTCCATTCTGAGAGTTTATCATCGCTGTGCTCAGAGACATCCTCAAGCCAAGAGGATTTCTTCTTACCCTCAGTCTTAGTGGAAATCATAATCAAATATATCGGCTTCTCGGGTCGTTTCCAGGTCAAAACAAATCGCACATGCGTCTCACAAACACCATCACCATTACCGAACCTGGCACATCGTCCATAATTCCGGCAGCCGCAACAGATTCTTTAATTTTGGCTGCGGTAGCCGACTTTGGACCTTGTCTTAGCGACTCGAGAATCTCCAGGTGGCGGGAATGAAGTCCTTCTCTGTTGCTGGGTAAATCACCTCATAGCTCTGAGGCGTAGAAGCTTTTACATCGGTCGACATGGCCACCTCTGGAACTTGCCTGCATACGCTGGAGGACTGCAGCACCTGCTTCGACTTCCTTTCAACTCGAGTGTGTGTTGCAAATGCCGGTGTGAAAACTCTCTTGGTTTTTTTTTACCCTTGAATTTTACTTGAGTAAGTCCTTAACTTAGGCCTCAGAAACTAACGCCATCGACATGAAAGCTTACAGTTTTCGTTTCATGGATGTTTCGGTTCTGTCGCTCCACAAGACACAAAAAAATAATTGTGAAATTTCCACCGTAAATACTTGAGTCGACTGTGTAATTTCGAAAAAAAAAACAGCATTTGGATTTAATATCAATACAGTACCCAACCAACAAACTTCCTAATCTGTGTGGTAGGAAGATTGTTAGGAAGCATGTCTTTCTGTCACCTAAATCTTGCACCAGCCATTATTTATATGATGAAACAAGCATAAATTCCATCACAAGGTTTTAAGGCTTACAATTAAGCACCTTTGAGTAACGATTACTTGTACTCATTATACCTATAAGAAGTCATGCATCTTAGTCTTGACTAATTATTTAGAATGTAATAATGCTCAGTACACATAACAACGGAATCTTCGCATTGCGTTATTATGTGATAATGTTTATTACAAATAATAACGTGATACGAAGCATCCCACGAAACTCCATAAAGAATGGCAGCTCGGTTAGTCCAGAGGACGCATTTAATTTTCTCTGCGATTCTGAGCGCAACATTACCCGGAGTGCAGCAGCTGCTCGCCGCAAAATCTGGTGCTGGACGCGCAGTTCTTTCCTGGAGCGGCAATGGGCTTTTTGGGTTGTGTTGAGGAGCAGCCGAGGACCGACAACAAGATTAGTGCCTTTGTTCCCTCGCTAGGGACAAAGGCCCGGCCTGGACCCTCTTATCTTCACGCAAGCGTTGTATACCTAAACGATTTCGGCAGCACAGCTTTCTTTTTGCTGGACACTTCTTTTGGGGACTTGGGGACACTTCTGTTGGGGGACTTGGGACCTTTCTTTTGGGGACTTGGGGACATTTCTGTTGGGGACCCTGGGACACTTCTGCTGGGACTTGGGGAAACTTCTGTTGGAGACCCTGGGACACTTCTGCTGGGACTTGGGGACACTTCTGTTGGGACTTAGGGACACTTCTGTCAGGAACTTGGGTACACTTCTGTTGGGGACTTGGGAACACTTCTGTTGGGGACTCGGGGACACTTCTGTCGGGAACTTGGAGACAATTCTGATAGGAACTTGAGGACACTTCTGTTGGGAACTTGGAGACAATTCTGTTGAGGACTTGGGGACACTTCTGTTGGGCCCCTGGGGGTACTTCCGTTGGAGACTTGGGGACACTTCTGTTGGGCACCTGGGGGTACTTCCGTTGGAGACTTGGGGACACTTCTGTTGGAGACTTGGGAGAACTTCTGTTGGACACTTGGGGGCACTTCCGTTGGAGACTTGGGGCAATTCTGTTGGGGACTTGGGGATACTTCTGTTGAGGACTTGGGGACACTCGTGTCGGGGACACTCCTGTTGGGGACTTAGGGACACTGCTGTTTGGGACTTGAAACACTTCTGTTGGGACTTGGAGACACTTTGTTGGGCCTTAGGGAAACTCCTGTTGGGTCCTTGATAACACTTACGTTGACACATAGATACACCTGTTAAGCTCTGTAATGACATTTAAGTTGCTGCTGGGTAATTTAAGCTCTGTAATGACATTTATGTTGCTTAGATTCTTACTCAGTGGCGACACGTTTGTTGCTTTTGGGTGTCGTGATGCCACTTTTGTTGTTTTTGGACACCGGAGTGTCACTTTAGTAGATGTTGGTGGACACCGTGGTGCATTTTATGTTGTTGTAGGAAAACACAAAGGCCCTGTATGTTTAGTATTTCTTATATTTTTTGTAACATTACAGTGAGGAGAAATAAACTAGACGCACCTACTTATCTTTGCCAGCACCTTAATTGGCGTTCTATGCCTCACCCATAAAACATTAATATTAGTTTCACCGCAATGAGCTCGAAGATATATTTTTAAAGAGATTGATGATACCAAATCATAACGTTTTTCCGTGAAAAAATCTATGTTATGAAATTGATTCGTTGAAGAAGCTGTGTCGTATTTGTTCGATTCCAAGACAAATTTTTTAAAGAGGCGTCAAAAAAGTAACCCATCGGACCGAAGATATAGTTCTATTCTCTAATTAATTACATCCTTTACGACATGCAAGTCACATACATCAGTTCCTTCACACTAATTGATTTAGACGGCGCTTTCCCTGCAGGTTTCAAGGATTGATAAGGTGATCAAAATCGAGCGTGGCTAGAATTCATATAGAATTTTGGCGCTTGATGGCTTTCCGCGCTGCCGCATATTTCAATTACATCGAATTCAAAAGGATCCGGCAGCAGCAATTCTGAAATTTCGTCGACGGAGACAAAGCAACTAGTCGAAAAAAATTGTAAAAGTGAAACTTTTACGGCCAACTCTGAAGCTGTTCGTAAAGTTCACTTTTAATCGTTATTGACTTCTGAGCTCGAACTTAGATTTCAATTCTATGCCCTATTAGAGATTTTACGTTATGAGGAAAACCTATGAATGTCATCTGAAGTTCACAAATATTGCGTTCTTTGTGTTGCTTGTGGAATTTTGGTGTATCTCATGTGAAAATTTTTCATATGATCCTTTTACCGTCCTTCCGCCCTTCCTTACCTCAAATTTTCTACACGATCACAGCAAAGAACACAGATGTGCTGTCGTCGCACGAGCCTGGTGCCATACTTTCAAAACTCGCTAAGTGAACGTAAGTACTTACGCTCTATTTTCTTGTCTATGATTCGTGGATTTTGCTCGAAAGGCCGTCAATGATTGGCTGATAAACTTACGAGCTCTTAATTTTTTTTTCAAGTATAGGCCCTGGTGCCTAAATTGTGTTAGAACAAACTACGTGCAGTCAAAACTTCTGCGCTGACAGGGCCCTGCGACGTGCAACAGCAGGTACTCAGACAAATGTTAAAGTTTAAGCATGTATCAAGATTGTAAAGGATAAATCTCAATAATAATTTCGTCACCTCGCAGATGGTTAGTTTTGTGGCGGATGGTATAGGTCTTGCTATATATACAATGGAAATTAACCCAGGTTCTACAAGTCGGCGAAGGTTTAGAATGGTTTATTTACACATGACGGACAATGAAGTACTGGCAAGCATATAAATGACAACACACAGATTGAATTAGTTTGACATGTGATATGGACGCTTGCTAGTGATTGACTGACGGAGATGAGAGGAATGGACTATCGTTACTTACTAACTACAAATTACGGGACGATCCCGTATGTTACGGTCGGGCTTACGTTAGTTTCCCCGACAAATTTCAAACTAGTTATCAAAATTCCCTCCTGTATTTCGTTTCTCCTCGTTTAATCCTCACCTTGCATTCCATTTCTTTTCTTCCACTTACCTCCCTTCCTATCCTCCATTCATCAGCCCTCTACTTTCCTTACTTTCATGTCTCTACTACTACTTCTTTTCTTCTTTCTTTCAATTCATTCATCTCCCAAAACTGCTTCTTTCAGCTATCACATTTCCCCTCTCATATCCCCACCCCTCCACCCCTCACAGCCCTCACCCTCCACCCCTCACAGCCCTCACCCTATACCTCACAGCCCTCACCCTATACCTCACAGCCCTTACCCTATACCTCACAGCCCTCAACCTATATCTCACAGCCCTCACCCTATACCTCGTATTTCTTCTCACCGCCGCGATGAACAGCGGGCTCACCGCTCGCCCTCAGTTCATCTTCGCAGTATTTCAACAACTGAAAAACGACCCTCAGACTTTACTATCTTATTTTGGCACAAGCAAAAAAAATTTCATGGATCTATGAAAACCAGCCACATGCCGCTGAAATTAGTCGTATATTTTTCTCCAACACGCGCTGCCGTTTCTACGGATTTATTATTTCTGCCATATGAAATGCCAAGTTTTCTGTCAGAAATTCTATGTAATTTTTAGCGATGTTCTACATTCTTCAAAAAATGTTTTGAGTTAGTACATGGAAGGCCAGAATGTCTCTTATTTCATATAGTTATCGTAATTTTGTGTGTTTTTCTCTTCATATAGGTGAATTTTTAGCAAGCCGAAATAAGAGGTCTGAAACTGTAATTGACTCATTTGAAGGTAATTACAGCTTTCGGTTCGCACACCTTATATTATATGGACAATTTTATGCCTCGCATCTGTCAAGTAATCGCCGTGGATTGCTTATTTTATATGCATTCATTTTCTCGTAACAAGTTATCATTTAGTGGAATAAAATTTATATTTTCACCATTTGTTGTTCTACGAGTGAGTGCCCCGCNAAGAGACAGATATTATATAGAACACAAGTACAGTCAATAGGAAGTATTGTATGTGGATTTCATGAAATTTCTTATATTGATGATGGAACTGGTCTCCGAGACGTTTTCATTTAACATATAATGAATTTGTGATAATTTTGAATACATGAATAAATTGTAAGGTAAAAAACCTAAATGTCTTTTAATAATTGAAAATAATTTGAATTATGGGCACGTTAACCACATCGGTTTTTATGACTATCAAATGACACAAAAGTAATCGGAACTAGGTGTACTCACACAGTGAAAACAGGTTTGCCCGCGCGTGCAACCTGCTCCACCCTGCCACAAGCATGAACATAGGATAATAACTGTCTCTTATACACATCTAGATGTGTATAAGAGACAGATGTAGCTCTTTGTAAAAAAGAAAGAATTAAAACGCTATCTTTAATACTTTTTACTTTGTGATTTTTTTAAAAGAGTAAGTTCCCACGCCGCACCCTGTACTAGCCGTTGATACCCTTCAGATGAGGTTGGAAATTACTTCAAAATGTACAAGGACCCCGCAAATTACGGATTTTTTAATTAATTGCCATTAGTTGTTTCTTTTTTTTACTGTGAATGATATAATTGACGCCCCAATTGACGTCAACAAGAAATTTTGCATATTTTACATGCTATAAAATTTTGTTGGAACATTTTCCGTTTCTCCCGCATTTTAGTTCAGAGCTTGCCTCTCATCTGAAGAAAAGGACAATGGCAGCGAGGCGGAGAGCTCGCCGAAACCTTGTCGACCTCCGTAACGCTATAAGAGTGTCCTCTCCTGAAGGATCAAAGCGCTGCCTGTGACGCAGGTCTTAAGGAAAGCTCCTAATTACGACATGATGAAGAGACGAGCCTGTAAGGCAGGACCAGAGTACACATGGCGATCAGTGCTTGCTGGGCACGCATAACAACGGCGAACACTCGCAAAAGTTCCCTTCTAAATCTCGAGCTCGTCTTCACCGTGAGTGAGGAACGCCGAGTGTGCTTGAAGAGGAGCACCAAGGTTTTTGATGAGGGTTTGTAGCTAAAGAACGTCGTGAAAGTTGCTGCGCGAGAGAGGGATGATACTATAGCCTCAATGACGTCATACGACAACGCAACAAAAGTTTATGTCGGGAATAGAAAAATTCATAATAGAATATTTCGTAGCGCCTGAAAACCAGGGAAAAGGCGTAAACGAGGTTGAAGTTTAAAATAAGAGGACAGACTGGTTTAAACAATTTGAGAAAGTGTGCAAAACTTTCAAAATTGCTGAGAGACAAATAATTTCACTGCTCTCCACATTTAAACGGTGGAAGAATTGATCTTCAAAGAACTTGAAAACTTTTTTCAATTAGAGATCCGAGTCTGTTTTCTAGGGCCTTTTTTATTTCTATTTCGAACAATTGAAGAAGCAGGAATAAAAGAAGATTCTTAAGAAGTTGAACGGGAAACTCATATTAAGACTTTAAAGTTAAGGAGGACTAAAGTAATAATTTGCTTACTCGAGCATTCATTTAGTCTCCGAAGAAATAACTAAAAATTCACATCGTACATCTAAAATCCGAAGCATAAGCCAATGTTTCTGAATGTGGAAAATGCCTCGTGAATTCCGCACTCTAGAATTTTTTTTCATATTACGATTCATCCCGTCGACAGCAGAGAGCTAGCTCAGTTATTTATTCCATTTTAAATGGAACGAGTTTGCTCGTATTTTGGTGCAGCGAAATTATTCAGTGAGGTACTTCAATTCCAAATACTTTCAAATTCAGACTTTGTATCAAAATGTTTCGATATCTTTGCAAAACGAGCCTACACAACACTACCCACAATTTCGCAACCATCATAATGCATTTTAAAATAAGCAAACTGTCCGCCTGGTCAAATTTGAGTGGAAAAATCCCCAAGGCAGCAGCAAAACTACAAGATTAATAACTGGATTCTATTAAGACCCGTTGCTGTTGCAATGAAAAGTTCTACCTTATTAAAAGTTGGAGCCTGATAGACGCTGCCCAACCGTCGGCCGTTCGTCAGCTGCGCCAACACGCCCTTGGTTTTCATCGTGGGATTACCGTACAATAAACTCGCACAATATCGATGATGGGAGCGTAGACATTATATTAATGACTTCAAGATATGGAACCTAAGCCCTGATGGATCTGGCCATTGCTCTCCAAATAGAAGGCGCTCGAAAGCCCAGCGTCTGAATTGAAGATTTCACGAGACCGTCTAGATAACTCATGTTATATATTCTCTCTGTATTCCTACATTGGATAA